TTTTTTTTCGTACCTACATACATATTAACAAGCATGACCATGTATACTAATATAAGCATTTGTATAAACGAAAATTTATATATGTATGTACATTCATATAAAACTATATAGAGTATGCAATTGGAAATTGGGAAATGTTAATACGATTAAATGGTAATGCAATTTTGCGAGTGTTGGAAAATATATATGTATACATTGATGATATAAAATGTCATGAGTGATGTGTCGATTGTCGTCGTGCATTTAACTATAGAATGTAATATGTAAGTTTATAATAGTACACTTATTTTTATATCAAACTTAAGTAGTTTGTAAAGAAGAAAAATGCGGAATTGTATGTATAGCCGCGATAGTCTGGGAGATTAGGCGCGAATGTTCCCTTTTTTGTAAATGAAAAAATTTTTGCATTCGAACAAGGAAATTAGAAAAAACCAAATTTTTATAAACTTGTTAAAACCTTTATGTAGAGTACATATTTGGGAAGAAAAAAAGTCGAAATTAAAATGCATATATATATTATATATGTATATATATAAATAAATACACCAAATTTTACTAATTGTTTTTGATTGCCAGAGGAAAACGCACTAACAGTGAACGCCGATTGGACCGAAAGGCGGCGTTATACGCAGATATAACGAAATACGAAAAGTGATATTTAGAGCAACATAATAATAATATTTTGGAAGTTGCTCATTTTTTACGTGTTTTGCGGAGCTTCTCAACTAATAAAGGGTAATGGTTCTTTTCTTTTTTTATGGTAGAAGTAATGAAAAAACTTGTTTGGATATTGCTCCGAAATTCACACTTCTAACTTGTCTGCTATGGGAGTTGCAATGCTTCAGGAATGTTGGTGTATGTTTAAGTTTCACTTCAAAGAAGGGTCAACGTAATGCAAACAGCTGGAAAATATGGGCTTTTCATGGAGAGAGTTCTGTGTTAGAAAGAGCCGTCTACGAATGGTTCACTTAATTTCACTGTTCAAGATCCACCTCGCCCTGGTCGACCAATCGTACAAAAAATCGATTTCGATTGTCGATTGACAAATACAGATTTCGAAATAGTTGAGCAGTCATGAAACAACTAAACATCCATCACCAAACAGCATTTAACTATTTGCAAAAGGCTGGAAATGGTAGAAGTGATAGCTATTTCGGAAATCACCACATTTCCTCATCAGACTTCTTTCAGTAGGATTCGAACCGACGATCCCACTGACTCAGCCAGTTGCCTATGCACCGTGCTAAGTACGCCTTGTAAATTATCGTTTGCTTTTTTCCACTATTATAGGCGTACTTAGCACGGTGCATAGGCAACTGGCTGAGACAGTAGGATCGTCGGTTCGAATCCTACTGAAAGAAGTCTGATGAGGAAATGTGGTGATTTCCGAAATAGCTATCACTTCTACCATTTTTTCAAATTATTGTTGTTTTTCCAAAATAAATTTTCCTTTAAAAAAACGGCCTCGAGCTCAATATAAATTGTTGAATATAATTGTTATAAAAGGCCAAAAAATAACGAAAACAAATAACTTAAGGACGAGCACACCTAAAAGTTAAACATCCCAAAAATAGAATTATTAGCAAAAACCAACAGTACCAACAACCACATGATCAAGTGAATTGCAGCGGAATAGCTGCGCTTGATTGTGTTGGCATAACAAAAATGAAAATAGTGGAAAAAAGCAAACGATAATTTACAAGGCGTACTTAGCACGGTGCATAGGCAACTGGCTGAGTCAGTGGGATCGTCGGTTCGAATCCTACTGAAAGAAGTGTGATGAGGAAATGTGCTGATTTCCGAAATAGCTATCACTTTTACCATTTTTTCAAATTATTGTTGCTTTTCCATAATAAATTTTCGTTTAAAAAAACGGCCTCGAGCTCGATATAAATTGTTGAATATAATTGTTATAAAAGGCAAAAAAAAAATAACAAAAACAAATAACTTAAGGACGAGCACACCTAAAAGTTAAACATTCTAAAAATAGAATTATTAGCAAAAACCAACAGTACCAACAACCACATGATCAAGTGAATTGCAGCGGAATAGCTGCGCTTGATTGTGTTGGCATAACAAAAATGAAAATAGTGGAAAAAAGCAAACGATAATTTACAAGGCGTACTTAGCACGGTGCATAGGCAACTGGCTGAGTCAGTGGGATCGTCGGTTCGAATCGTACTGAAAGAAGTCTGATGAGGAAATGTGGTGATTTCCGAAATAGCTATCACTTCTACCATTTTTTCAAATTATTGTTGCTTTTCCACAATAAATTTTCATTTAAAAAAACGGCCTCGAGCTCAATATAAATTGTTTACATATAAATATAATCTCAATCGAAGCTCGTTTGTTAATAACAGCAAAAAAGGACCAG